TAGGAGGACAGATTTACTGGATCAACAGTAGGTTCTTTGAGAGCGACCTCTAAGAAAGATGCCGATAGGCCAAGGACATCCAGATAAATTTGTGCCTATCTGAGAGCAGTCCCAGTGTTTTGGTGTTCCCGAATCGGACTTCTGTACCTCAGTTAGAAGGCAAAAATACCCATATCCATGGGAAAAAGTCCCTGTTCCAAGGTCCAGACAGCAGCTTCTCTGCAACCCTGTTTGAGCAAAAGTATCTCTGTTCAGCCCATAGCCCTTTGTCCATTCACTTCATTGAGTGGCTTGATTTCCAAGGCCCTCCACTCATGGTGAGGCCAGGCCCTGACATCTGTTCTTCATACAAGCCTCCTTCCAGGTAAAAGCTCCAGGGGAAGAATTCTGGTAAGGTGCTCCCAAACGTGTCATCTTCCCAGACCATACCTTTGAACAACACCATCAGGGATTGGCTGCATCAATAAGTATGCATTACCTAGCATTGCAGGATACCCCAAAAAAGCACAGAAAAGGAAGACAGATATACAGAACCATAAGAAGGTCTATGAGAATGACCTCTAAAATAAATGTTGATAGAGGACAAGATGAATCTGTGACTATCTGAGATCAGTCCCAGTGTTTTGTTGCTGCAGAATATGACTTCTGTCCCTCAACTAGAAGACAAAAACACCCAAGTCTGTGGGAAAAACTTCCTCTTCCAAGGTCCAGACAGCAGCTTCTATCCAGCTCCTCTGAAACCCCGTTCAGGCAAAAGTATCTCTGTTCAGCCCATAGCCCTTTCATCCATTCACTTTGTTGAGTGGCTTGGTATCCAAGGCCCTCTACTCATGGTGAGGCCTGGCCCTGATAGCAGCTTTTCATATAAGCCTCCTTCCAAGTAAAAGTCCCACGGGAAGGGAGTTTTGGAAAGTAGCTTCGAAGCATTTATGTTCCTAGACTTTGCCCCCAACACCTTCATGGATTGGCTGCGTCAGTTAGTATTCATGACCTAGGGCTGCAGGATACCCAAAAAAGAACAGAACAGGAGGACATATATACTGGATTGGCAGTAGGTTCTTTGGGAGTGACTTCTAAAACAAATGCTGACAGAAGACAACCAGATAAATCCATGACTCTTTGAGAGAGGTCCCTGTGTTTTCTTGCTCCCAAATTTGACTTCTGTCCCTCAATAAAGACAAAAATACCTACGTCTATGGGCAAAGGTCCCCTTCCAAGATCCAGGCAGCAGCTACTTCCCAGCTCCTCTGTGACCCTCTTCAGGCAAAAGTATCTCTGTTCAGCCCATAGCCCTTCATCAAATCATTCTGTTGAGTGGCTTACTATCCAGGGACCTCTACTCATGGTGAGTCCGGGCCCCGACAGCAGCTCATTATACAAGCCTCCTTCCAGGTAAAAGTCCCAAGGGAAAGAGTTTAGGAAAGGTGTTTCAAAACATTTATCTTCCCAGACAATGCCCCCAAAACCTTCAGGGGCTGGCTGTGTCAGATAAATATTCATGACCTAGGGGTGCAGGATAGCAGAACAGCACAGAATATTAGGACAGATACACTGGATCAGCAATAGGTTCTTTGACAGCGACCTCTAAAATAGATGCTGATAGCCCAAGGACAACCGGATAAATCTGTGACTATCAGAGAGCAGTCCCAGTTTTTTCTTTGCTGCCGAATCTGACTTCTGCCACTCAGTAAGAAGACAAAAAATACCTAACTCAAAGGTTCCTCTTTAAAATAATAGATATATGCAGCGCTAAGAGACAATATAATCAAATGGATATCTTAAATCATAAATTCTGTACATCCAAATACCTAAAGAGTAAGTGGGCACTGATGGTAGTGCAAGATTAGCGCAGTGATGGTCACGTCTGAAAACGACGCTTAAATATATTCTAGATCAAGTGATAAAGTGACAGTGGTAGTGAGTCCAATCACAGAATAGTAGAGTTCATCCAAAATAGTGCTCCGTGTTCTGTGACTTTGTCAGGGAACGAGAAGATCGCTGCGGCGCACGAATCTGCACATATGTAGGATCCCGACAAAACATACAGGCAGGTGGGCACTAGGACCCAGGTGTGCCTGTCAGCAATGACTGCGCCGGGCAGGCACTAGGACCCAGGCGCGCCTGTCAGCGCCGGGCGGGCTATTTAAACTAGCTCTTGCAATGCTCACATTGCCGTATGGTCTTGTTCCTGTTTATCCTGTTCCTGTGAGAGTATCTTGTTGCCGAACCCAGCCTGATCCTGATTACTGCTGACCATCTCCTGCCCTGACTCCTGGCTCGTTTGACCATTCTTCTGCCTGTTCCTGATTATCTGATCTCCTGCTGCTGAACCTGGCTTGTGACCTGATGACTCTCTGCCTGTACCGCTCTGCCTCCACTGTTACCGACCCGGCCTGTCTGACTCTGCTATTGTTCCAGTGTGTTCGGTCCAGCCATCCTGCACGGATCCATCCGTTGCGGTCCGGGCCTGCTCTGCCTCTTCACATCAGGCTCTCATCCTGCTACGTGCCACTGGCAGTTCCCTCTACCACAGCTGGGTGTACTCAGGGGCCACGACCGGGTCTCAGTCTGCTCCAAGTCCATCCTCACCATCAGGGGCTCTGGTGAACAATCAGATTGGGGCTTAGACTTCACGCCCTGGGGAAATCCGGTCTGTGGAGCTCTAGAGCTACCGTCGGTAGGTACTTGACAGACTTTAATTGTTGATGTGAAAATCTGGTACAATAATGTACTTACCAGAAGTACATATAATGAAAGCATTATATGTATAACATACAGTGGGGATGGAAAGTTTGGGCACCCCAGCTAAAAATTTGTATTAATGTGCATAAAGAAGCCAAGGAAAGATGGAAAAATCTCCAAAAGGGCATCAAATTACAGATTAGACATTCTTATAATATGTCAACAAAAGTTAGATTTTATTTCCATCATTTACACTTTCAAAATAACAGAAAACAAAAAAATGGCGTCTGCAAAAGTTTGGGCCCCCTGCAGAATTTATAGCACGCACTGCCCCCTTTGCCAAGCTGAGACCTGCCAGTGTCATGGATTGTTCTCAATCATTCGTCTGGGAAGACCAGGTGATGTCAATCTCAAAGGTTTTAAATGCCCCGACTCATCTGACCTTGCCCCAACAATCAGCACCATGGGTTCTTCTAAGCAGTTGTCTAGAAAACTGAAACTGAAAATAGTTGACGCTCACAAAGCTGGAGAAGGCTATAAGAAGATAGCAAAGCATTTTCAGATGTCAATATCCTCTGTTCGGAATGTCATTAAGAAATGGCAGTCATCAGGAACAGTGGAAGTTAAAGCAAGATCTGGAAGACCAAGAAAAATATCAGACAGAACAGCTCGCAGGATTGTGAGAAAAACAATTCAAAACCCACGTTTGACGGCACGATCCCTCCAGAAAGATCTGGCAGACACTGGAGTTGTGGTCACTATTCCACTATAAAGAGATACTTGTACAAATATGGTTTCATGGAAGAGTCATCAGAAGAAAACCTCTTCTACGTCCTCACCACAAAAATCATCGTTTGAACTTTGCAAATGAACATATAGACAAGCCTGATGCATTTTGGAAACAAGTTCTGTGGACCGATGAGGTTAAAATTGAACTTTTTGGCCGGAATGAGCAAAGGTACGTTTGGAGAAGAAGGGGCACAGAATTGAATGACAAGAACCTCTGTCCAACTGTGAAGCATGGGGTTGGATCAATCATGCTTTGGGGTTGTGTTGCAGCCAGTGGCACAGGGAACATCTCACGGGTAGAAGGAAAAATGGATTCAATAAATTTCAGCAAATTTTGGATGCCAACTTGATGCCATCTGTGAAAAAGCTGAAGTTAAAGAGAGGATGGCTTCTACAAATGGATAATGATCCTAAACACACCTGGAAATCCACGGGGGATTACATCAAGAGGCGTAAACTGAAGGTTTTGCCATGGCCTTCACAATCTCCTGACCTCAACATCATTGAAAATCTATGGATAGACCTTAAAAGAGCCGTGCGTGACAGACAGCCCAGAAATCTCAAAGAACTGGAAGACTTTTGTAAGGAAGAATGGGCAAAGATACCTCAAACAAGAACTGAAAGACTCTTGGCTGGCTACAAAAAGCGTTTACAAGCCTGTGATACTTGCCAAAGGGGGCAGTACAAGATATTAACTCTGCAGGGGGCCCAAACTTTTGCAGACGCCATTTTTTTGTTTTCTGTTATTTTGAAAGTGTAAATGATGGAAATAAAATCTAACTTTTGTTGACATATTATAAGAATGTCTAATCTGTAATTTGATGCCTTTTGGAGATTTTTCCATCTTTCCTTGGCTTCTTTATGCTCATTAATACAAATTTTTAGCTGGGGTGCCCAAACTTTCGATCCCCACTGTATATGTGATGACATCAGGGTCTGGTCTATGGTTGTGGGGTCATCTGGCTCAGCAGCGGACTCTCACAGATGAAGCGACTCACACTCAGGGGTCCTCTCAGGCTCACAGGCTTGTCCCAAACAGCTCAAACCCTGGTAACACCTTCCCATATGGCTCCACCTTATGAGGCTCGCAAAAACCAAGCCTGTATATCCTGCCAGAAGTTCAGAGTTGTGTACACTTCCTATGCTGTCTCAAAGATTCTAAGTAGTCCTTCCAGTTCATATCTTAGCCTTGACAATTCCTTGCCTCTTGTCGTGCAGCCCTCGGAACTCATCTAGCGGCAGATCAGGTACAGCTCCCTCTTCAGCAGCTCCTCATTGATCTCCGAGTTCCCATAATACCTGCTCTGAGAAGTGTACACAACTCTGAACAGAACACGAGAGCACTATTTTGGATGAACTCTACTATTCTGTGATTGGACTCACTACCACTGTCACTTTATCACTTGATCTAGAATACATACAAGCGTCGTTTTCACAAGTGACCATCACTGCATCATCATCTTGCACTACCATCAGTGCCCACTTACTGTTCATGTATTTGGATGTACAGAATTTATGATTTAGGATATCCATTTGATTATACTGGCCTGCCTCGCCACAGGCTATCCCCACTTCAGTCCATCCTGAATACGGCTGCCAGACTCATTCACCTTACCAACCGCTCAGTGTCCTCCACCCCCCTCTGCCAATCCCTCCACTGGCCTCCACTCAGTGTCCTCCACCCCCCTCTGCCAATCCCTCCACTCAGTGTCCTCCACCCCCCTCTGCCAATCCCTCCACTGGCCTCCATTCAGTGTCCTCCACCCCCCTCTGCCAATCCCTCCACCCCCCCTCTGCCAATCCCTCCACTCAGTGTCCTCCACCCCCCTCTGCCAATCCCTCCACTGGCCTCCACTCAGTGTCCTCCTCCCCCCTCTGCCAATCCCTCCACTGGCCTCCACTCAGTGTCCTCCTCCCCCCTCTGCCAATCCCTCCACTGACCTCCACTCAGTGTCCTTCACCCCCCTCTGCCAATCCCTCCACTGGCCTCCACTCAGTGTCCTCCACCCCTCTCTGCCAATCCCTCCACTGGTCTCCATTCAGTGTCCTCCTCCCCCCTCTGCCAATCCCTCCACTGGCCTCCACTCAGTGTCCTCCTCCCCCCTCTGCCAATCCCTCCACTGGCCTCCATTCAGTGTCCTCCACTCCCCTCTGCCAATCCCTCCACTGGCTTCCAATTGCCCAACGGATCAAATTCTAAATCCTAACACTGACGTACAAAGCGTCCACCATACTGCCCCAAATTACATCACCGACCTGATATCCAAGTACCACCCAAAATACACCCTCCGCTCCTCACAAGACCTCCTTCTCTCTAGTTCCCTGGTCTCCTCCTCCCATGCCCGCCTCCAGGATTTCTCCAGAGTGTCACACATCCTCTGGAACTCCTCCCTTCCCCAACCCATCAGATTATCACCTACTCTCCTCTCCTTTAGGCGCACTCTGAAAACCCATCTCTGGCCTACCCCACCCCCTGCTAACTTGCCGACCTCCTCCTCTCTTCCTACCACTCCATCCCCCACAGCTATCTCCTCCTGTGCCACCATCCCCTCCCTCCTAGATTGTAAGCTCCAAGGATCAGGGCCCTCGAACCCCTCGTGTATCACATTGTATTGGTATTGTTCTGTCACATGTTCTGTTCCCCTCTGTAATGTACAGCGCTGAGCCAACTATGGCGCTTTATAAATACTGTATAATAATAATAATAATAATATTGTCTCTTAGCGCTGCATATATATATTTTTTTAGATTTGTTATTTATGAGGAGGATTGCCTTCATATGACAGCTGCTTTTCTATATACTAAGTGCTGCGCTCACATTTACCTTCGATATATTGTTCCTCTTTATAGGTCCAGACTGCAGCTCCCACCCAGCTCCACTGTCGCCCGCTCCAATAATATCTCTGTTCATCTTTCAGGCAGGCAATTAATTGAGTGCCTTGGCATTCAAGGCCTCCAGCTCTTGGCTCATGCTGAGGCCAGGCCCAGCAGCAGTTCTGCACGCAGGTCCTCCAAGTAGAAACCCCAGGGGTGTGAGTTCTGGAAAGGTGCTCCCAAATATGTTCCTAGACCATACCCCTGAGAAACACCTTCAGAAACAGGCTGCATCAGATAAATATGAATGACCTCGTAGATCGAGCTTCCCATTCTGGTTACTGGAATTCCCTTCCAGCAACAGGTTGAAGCAATCAACCCACCAGGCTTAGGGAAAACCTACAGAACCCAGAAAAGAAAACAGCTCAGGCTGGTTACATCCCCAACAGCAATACGCTGTACATGTGATGGAGATACAACTGCATAGGGCCGGGTGGCTACAGTCATAACACAGCAAAGCCCATCATCCCTTGAAGTGTGCGCTGGTGAATAACGGGCAGCTCCTTGGACTTTGCGCCTTGGCCCCTTCACATCCTGGTGACACAGAAGGTCCCCAACAGCAATACGCTGTACATGAGATGGAGATACAACTGCATAGGGCTGGGTGGCTACAGTCATACACAGCAAAGCCCATCATCCTTTAAGTGTGCGCTGGTGAATAACGGGCAGCTCCTTGGACTTTGCTCCTTGACTTTGCACCTTGGCCCCTTCACATCCTGGTGACACAGAAGGTCTCCAACAGTCATGCATAGGGCCGGGTGGTACAGCACACAGCAAAGCCCATCATCCCTTGAAGTGTGCGCTGCTGAATAACGGGCAGCTCCTTGGACTTTGTGCCTTGGCCCCTTCACATCCTGGTGACACAGAAGGTCCCCAACAGTCATGACACAGCAAAGCCCATCATCCCTTGAAGTGTGCGCTGGTGTGCATAACGGGCATCCTGGTGACACAGCTCCCCCGTAGACTTTGCGCCTTGGCCCCTTCACATCCTGGTGACACAGAAGGTCCCCAACAGTCATCCCTTGAAGTGTGCGCTGGTGAATAACACAGCAAAGCCCATCATCCCTTGAAGTGTGCGCTGGTGAATAACGGGCAGCTCCGTAGACTTTGCGCCTTGGTCCCTTCACATCCTGGTGACACAGAAGGTCCCCAACAGTCATGACACAGCAAAGCCCATCATCCCTTGAAGTGTGCGCTGGTGAATAACGGGCAGCTCCGTGACACAGAAGGTCCCCAAGACTTTGCGCCTTGGTCCCTTCACATCCTGGTGACACAGAAGGTCCCCAACAGCCATGACACTCTCCCTCTTCTCACCTCCTTTCATCTCCCCTCTCCGCCATTTTTTACAAATTGTTTTATTTCCAACTATATAATCAAAAGCAATAAATAGACATAATCACACGCTACTTCCAGACAAGCACTTAGCGGGATCTGAAAATCCCTTTCCTGCCGAGGTAATGCCAGCCTTTATGTTGTGCGTTAATTGCGGCTTCTTGTCTTTCCTGAGCAGCCACCCATCTCCCGGCCCCCTGTCATTATTGCAGGTACTTTGCACAATAAAAAATAATTTGATTTGCATATTATCGCCTTCTGTGCTGCCGAGAAGGCTTTTACCGGGAACATCTCGCTGAGGGATGGAGGAGCAGGAAAGGTCAGGAAACCTCGCTGAGAAGAATAAACTGACATTTGTGAAGAGGAGAAATCGGAGGAGTGCGATGGAGACTCAACCTTACGACAGGATAATGAGGACGGGGCTGGATCATCGGTCCTGACCCATGAGAGAGAGAGGGGGGGGGGGAGAGAGAGAGGGGGGAGGAGAGAGGGGGGGGAGAGAGAGGAGGGGGAGAGAGAGGGGAGAGAGCGAGCGAGAGAGGGAGGGGGAGAGAGAGAGGGGGGAGAGAGAGGGGGGAGAGAGGGAGGGAGAGAGAGGGGGGAGAGAGGGGGGAGAGAGGGGGAGAGAGAGAGAGAGAGAGAGAGGGGGGGGGAGAGAGAGAGGGGGGGAGAGAGGGGGGAGAGAGGGGGGCCACAGCGGGAGAGAGGGGGGGGAGAGAGGGCGGAGAGAGAGATAGAGCAAGCGAGAGAGAGAGAGGGGGGGGGAGAGAGAGAGAAAGGGGGAGATCTATTATCTATCTATCTATCTAATCTATTATTATCTATCTATCTAGAGAGAGGAGGGAGAGAGAGGGGTCACCGCCACAGTCACTTCCCCACATTATCTATCTATTATCAATTATCTATCTATCTATCTATCTATCTATCTCTATCTACACTATATCTATCTATCTATCTATCTATTATCTATCTATCATCTATCTATCTATCTATCTATTTATTATCTATCTATTTATTATCTATCTATCTATCTATCTATCTATCTATCTCAATCTATCTATCTATTATCTATTATCTATCTATCTATCTATCTATCTATCAATCTATCTATCTATCTATCTATCTATCTATCTATCTATCTATCTATTATCTATCTATCTATCTATCTATCTATTATCTATCTATCTATTATCTATATTATCTATCTATCTATCTATCTATTATCTATCTATTATCTATCTATTATCTATCTATCTATCTATCTATTATCTATCTATCTATCTATCTATCTATCTATCTATCTATCTATCTATCTATTATCTATCTATTATATCTATCTATTATCTATCTATTATCTATCTATTATCTATCTATTATCTATCTATCTATCTATCTATCTATTATCTATTATCTATCTATTATCTATCTATTATCTATCTATCTATCTATCTATTATCTATCTATCTATCTATCTATCTATCTATTATATCTATCTATCTATCTATCTATCTATCTATCTATCTATCTATCTATCTATCTATCTATCTATCTATCTATCTATCTATCTATCTATCTATCTATCTATCTATCTATCTATCTATCTATCTATTATCTATCTATCTATCTATCTATCTATCTATCTATCTATTATCTATCTATCTATCTATCTATCTATTATCTATCTATCTATCTATCTATCTATCTATTATCTATCTATTATCTATCTATCTATTATCTATCTATTATCTATCTATCTATCTATCTATCTATCTATCTATCTATCTATCTATCTATCTATCTATCTATCTATTATCTATCTATCTATCTATCTATTATCTATCTATCTATTATCTATCTATCTATTATCTATATCTATCTATCTATCTATCTATTATCTATCTATCTATCTATTATCTATCTATCTATTATCTATCTATTATCTATCTTCTATCTATCTATCTATCTATCTATCTATCTATTATCTATCTATTATCTATCTATCTATCTATCTATCTATCTATCTATCTATTATCTATCTATCTATCTATCTATCTATCTATCTATCTATCTATCTATTATCTATCTATCATCTACAGGATTTATATAGCGCCAACAGTTTTGTTGAGCTTCTGTGTGCACTGTGATGTGTCGCAGTGCATTTGCGTGTTTGTGTTGCAGAAGAATGCCGCACGCTGTACTTGGTGGTGTGAGCTGCGCCGATAGGATCGCCTGGATTTTGGGCTGTCTATGAAGTCGGAGTGCAGTCCAAAACGCACCCATCTGCAGCCCACTGTGTTAGGTGTGAAAGGGCCCTAAGTGAAAACAAAAAGTAAGGTACACCCAAGCACACACCCAAAAAATGTTAGATGTCATTTTTTTGCAGAAAATCTGCGCTTCGTAAAATTGTTGCACTAAATTGTTGACATAGAAAATTGGGACTACCACCACTTTATTCTCCAGGTTGTCTGTTTTCAGGAAATATATCACATTTGGGGGTTTTATCTAATCTTCAGGCCTAACATGATGTTTCCATCCTCAGTGCAGAACCGTCTTTGGCTGTGAAAGGGTTAAAGCCCTTGGTATTTAGGGGACAGGGGGGTGCAGGAAAGCGCACCTTCCGTATGGCACAGATGAAATTAAAAATTGAAAATCCGAAGACGAGTCTGCAATCTTGTATCATTTCACCGTTACAAAAT